ATGGTCATCCAAAACCATAATTCCCGTTTTGCTCCCGCTGCTCAAGAGAAGGGGAGAAAAGATCTTCTCAACTCTAACAGGAATGGCAAAAGAAGTCTACCAAGGCAACAGTTATTTGCCAGCTGCAGTCAGCACCTCTTGAATTGGTCTTTGAAATTTTGAAAATTGCAGACCTGAGGACAGGTACCTTTCCTGCACCTGTGTTTTCCCCCTTACTAATAACAGCTTAGGGGGAATTGCTGTCCGGTGAATGCCTAGCGCTTGGCTCCATTAAACAGAGCCTATGTAGTGTAGTGTTTAGAGTGCTGGGAAAACTCATTCAAATCCCCGCACAGTTAGGAAGTTATCTGAGTGACCATGGGCCAATGACTGTCTCCCAGCTCAAACTACCTCACAGGATTGTCATGATAATGAAGAGAAAGGCAGAACTATTTACACTACCGTGAGCCAAGAAGAAAGGTGGATATAAAAATAAATAATAAATTGAAGGAACAGAACAAAATTTGAGTCCAGTGGCAACAAAGAACAAAGTTTTATTCAAGGTATAAACGTTTGTGTGCACACACACTTTTCTTCAGATTCAATGAAATGGAAGTTACCAGTTCATACATATAAGTAGAGGGTGAGCAGCAAATTAGCATAAGCATAACAAATGTTGTTTAACAGATGCAAAGACCAAACTAAAATAACGAGCTTAGTTTATATGGTCACCATTTGTTTGGGTTTAATGAGTGAAGGAAATAAATATATCAAAATTGGAGATTGATGTGTAAATGTATCCTTCTTAATTGCGGAATGCTGAGAGTAATTAACTGAGAGTTGTTATGCTCTATCCATCTCCTCTCAAACATGGAGGTAACCAACAGCATCTTTTTCTTTAAGGTGGGGTGATTGGTTGTGCAGAGTTATGTCTCTTCTGTCCCTAGACCAGAGAAGTACATTTCAATCTACCATTCCAAATTACAATACATTCTACCATTCAGTACACTGCATTACAATCAGTATTCCAATCTACTATCCCAATTAAGAAATAAAATAAGTAGGATGCATAGCCCTTCTTGATGAGAATACAATGACTGAATGAGATTAGCCTATGTAGTGAGATAAGAAACCAATATCCCTGTTAAGTCCTGGGGGTTTCGTAAATCAGCAGTTTCCTTTTCTAGTCTGTTCCTGAAGTTCTTTTGCAATAAACCAGTTGTTTTGAGGTCACCCACTGAATGACCTGGAAAGCTGAAGTGTTCTCCTACAGGTTTCTCAGTCTTGTGATTCTTGATGCCAGATTTGTGTCCATTTATCCTTTGGCATAGGATTTGACCTGTTTGCTCTATGTAAAGAATGGAAGGGCATTGTTGACATTTAATGGCATATACAGTGTTAGAAGATGAGCAAGTGAATGAGCCTGAGATGAAGGTCTGTCTGAGTACAAGAAAAGGTCTGCCCCCAGTGCTTGTGAAAGAGAACTGTCATTATTCAGTAGAGGTTGTGAGTCATTGATAATGTGTTGAACTGTTTTAAGTTGAGAGCTGTACGTGACTACTAGTGGTGTTCTGTTAGTCTCTTTTGGGCCTATCTTGTAACAGGCTTTCTCTGGGTAGTGTTCTGGCTTTGTTAATCTGTTTCTTTACCTCATCAGGTGGATATTTTAGTTCCAAAAAGTTTTGTTGTAAATTCCTCATGTGAGAATCTCTGTCTGTAGGATTGGAACAGATGTGGCTGTAGTGTAGAGCCTGGCTGTAGTGCAGAGCCTGGCTGTAGTGTAGACTATAGATTGTTTGGTATGTTTACGATGGTAGCTGGATGCACGTAGATATGTTTGGCCAGGGGTCATTTCGTAGAAAAAGACCTAGGGGAACTCATTAGCATAACTCATTAGCATATGCCACACCCCCTGACATCAGGGGCCCGGCGGTGGACCTGCAAGGCCAGCGGGAGTGCGAGGAAGCCCCGCCAAGGCCCTCCCTGGCCCCAGGCAGGCAGGGGTGGGGAGAGGCGGGGAGGAAGCAACTTACTCTCCCTCTTCTCCTGCCTCCTCCTGGCTGAATGAGGGCCGGAAGCGGGGCGACCGGAAGCAGGGGGCAGGGCTTCGTCATTTGCCCCTCCCCCCTGCACCCCCCCCGGGGGAACTGCGTTCCCCCGCGTTCCCCCCCCCCCCCGAAATGACCTCTGTGTTTGGCAATCAGTAGGTTTCCGGTATAAGGTGATGTCTATGCATCCATTGTGTATTTTTACAGTCGTGTCCAGAAAATGTATTTGTTGCATCATTGTCAGGTTGATGGTGGGGTGAAAGTTGTTGAACACCTGGTGGAATCTGTCCAGGGCTTCTTTACCATATGACCAGGCAATAAAAATATAACCGATGTAGCACAGGTATAGGAGAGGTGTGAGTGGGCAGGAGTTTAGGAAGCATTGCTCCAAGTCAGCCATGAAGATGTTAGCATACTGTGGTGCCATGCGGGTGACCATGGCACCACACTGAGGGAAGTGAAAGATCAATAGCTAGGAGGTCATATATAACTATCCTTCATTACAGAGTTCTGGAGCTGAGAAAATACTGCTGTACACCTCTTTGAATAGGTTACTATACTAAGCAGGGGTAAGGATAGAAGAATGAAAGAATCAGGAATAATTACAGCCCCTACTGTGGGATTGGGTTTGGGCAAAGGTGGCCTTCTCAGGAGGTAGACAAAAGACTGGGAATGGATGAGAAGGGATGTGAACAGCCATAGCCCAAAAGCAGGGAGAATACAGGCTTGGAGGAAAAGATTGATTTTGGGAGAGGGCTCAGCTGAGGGAGAGTATTTTACTCTCTGGCCCCAACTGCTTTTACGTGGGAGTAATTACAGTGTTACATCTGCATTACAGTTCAAACATGTCAACATAAACATAATTAAATGTACTGTCAGATCACAGCTGATTTATGGCAACCCTGTAAGGTTTTCAAGGCAAGAGACAACAGAGGTGGTTTGCCATTGCCTGCCCCTGTGTCATGACCCTGGACTTCATTTGTGGTTTCTCATCCAGATACTAACCAGGGCCCACCCAGTTTAGCTTCTGAGATCTGACAAGACCAGGCTTGCCAGGTCGGCTTAATGGATTTAGAAAGCTGTAACACTGCTTCGACCTATTCAACCACAGGCTCTAGTACAGTTCCTTTGAACTAGCAGCCTCAGAGCCTTCTATTCTGGTTGAAACTGTCAGCTGCACAAAGTGTGCATAAAACATTTAGTTGACAACATGCAATACCATCTGGTGGTAATAAGCAGTATCGCTTTACAAAGGAAACCAAATTGAAACATAGAGAAAACATGTTCAAAAACAGTTTTTAAAACCGATCTTGAGCTGCAACTATGTATTTAAAAATCACATTTCATTTAAGTGGCAATGTTTTCCCTTATTCCAGAATGTGTAGGGGATATTGGAATTAAGTTGTGGGCATGGTGGGGGCAATGTTCCCTCTAAGCTGAGTTAGTGTGAGCTAGCTCACATTTTTACCCTCTGGCTGGCACATTTTTGTCTTAGCTCAGGCAGGATGGCTCCAGAGCAAACTAATTTAAGCAGCAGCCAAATCGCTCACTCACAACTTTAATGCCAGTAGCTCACAAGGTAAAATTTTTGCTCACAAGACTCCACAGCTTAGAGGGAGCATTGGGTGGGGGCAAACTATACTGTTTTAACTTGACAACCTTTTTTCAGACTTTCAAAAGAAACTGAGAAAATATTGAGTTGTGTAATACCATCTGGTAATAACTGACAGCATTCCACAAACAAGGCCGAGCTGGGTCCGGATCCACCCTACCAGAACCCACCTTGGAACTGGGAACATCAGAGCACCAGCACTTTGTTGTATTATTGTTATGTTTTTATCTTCTTTTTAATTGTTTTAATTATGGCTTTTGCACCAATTGTTAGCCGCCCTGAGCCTTAGGGGAGGGCGGGATAGAAATCGAATTATAAATTAAATAAATAAATAAAAAGCACACTAAAACGGAGTCTTCAGTTTCTGTGGGAGCTACGCTATACGCATAGTATCAATTTATTATTGCCTAATAGTAACGTGTATCAGTGCTGCCGTATAAACACTTCCAAGCAGATATACACGGGAAGTTTCTGAAAATTTTGATGGCGCATATCTCCGATTCAGAAGCCTGGTTCAAGCGCATTCAGAAGTGCCCTTATCTCCCTTCAAACAGCGGAACTCCCGCGTGAAAACCCCGACGCAGCATAGCACCACCTAGCTACGTGGAATAAACTTCATTATTGCTTCACTCATCGCCTTTCAATTGGGGGGGGGGGGCATACGGACTACAAATCCCATCATGCAGGGCGCCAAACCTTTTGCTCCGTCGCAGTCCCGATGCCCGAAAACTACATCCCCCAACATTCACTGCTGTATTCGCAGTGTAATAATTACTTATCAGGCGCTACAATCTACCTGGAGCCTACCGACTATTCCTCTACTGTATAATAAAACATAAGAACCAGGTGGCACTTGCAAGATCAACGTAATATATGTATCCTAGCATAAGCTTCTGTGAGTCAGAGCGCTCCTTCATCGGACGCGCTGAAGCGAGCGCTGACTCACCAAAGCTTCTGCTGGAAGAAATTGCGTTAGTCTTTATGGTGTCATTGGATTCCCGTTTTATTTTCTCCCTGTACAAAATCATATTTCTTCTATCATGGCATGGAAGGCGCACACAGCCTGAAGCTCCGTTGCAAAAATGGAAACTACCACTGGCAACGCTAGAAAGCCTTCGCTCCAACCCCTTCCACCTCTACAGTGAGAACTCTATTACTTTTGAATTGGAAGGTAGAGCGGCAAATCAATCCCATTCATGCAGGCCGCCACACCTTTTGCTCCGTCGCATTCCCGACGCCCGAAAGACTACAGCCCCCAACAATCCCTTGTTATACCGGAAGTGTCTAGAAAGTCCACGAGGGCGCGCGAAGCCGGCTGTTTCCAAACCGGAACTGATCCATTTGACCCTTCCGTGGGCCGCCGTCCTAGACTTTTCTCCACGTGGGGGAGAGTGGTTGCTCAGGCTGGAGATGGCTTCCCTGTACGTGGAGGAATTGCTGGCGCGCGCGGAGGAGCGCGAGGCCGAGACGCTACGCAGCGTGACGGTGCACAAGGAGCTGGACCTGGAGTTCGACGCGGGCAACCTGCTGGCGGTGGATAAGAATCCGGTGGCGCGCGCCGTGGCGCGAGAAGGCGCGGCTCGCGAGGACCTGCTGAGAGTCTTGGCCCGCGACAACACGCAGCTGCTGGTGGGCCAGCTGTGGGCGCTGCCTTCGGAGCGGGCCGAAGGAGGGTCGGGGCCGGTGGTGGTCAAGCTGCCCGAGCCTTCGACCCGCCTGCCCAGGGAAAAGCCGCTGCCCAAGCCCCGGCCGCTCACGAGGTGGGAGCAGTTCGCCAGGCTCAAAGGTATCCGCCCGACGCGCAAGAAGCGCGGCACGCTGGTCTGGGACGAGGCGGCGAAGGAGTGGCGGCGCCGCTGGGGTTACCGCCGCGCCGGGGCAGACCCGAAGCGCGACTGGGCTCTGGAGGTGCCCGAGGGGGCCGACCCGCTGGAAGACCAGTTCGCCAAACGGCGGCAGGAGAAGCGCGAGCGGGTGGCGCGCAACGAGTTCAACCGCCTCCGCAACCTGGCGCGCGCCCACCGCGGAGCCGCCCCGGAGCTCCACCCCACCGGCCACCAGGACCGGGCTGAGCTGGGCCGCGCCACCGCCGTCGCCCGCCTCGCCACCGCCTCCCGCGGCCGCTTCCAGCCTCGCCTGCCCAAGGAGCCGCCCGTGGCGAAGAGCCCCGGAGGGGGGAAGAAGCGCCACTTCGGACCGGTGCTGGGAGATTTGGAGGGGGAGAAGAAGCGGCAGCTGGAGCTGGTCCGGAGCCTGAACGCCAAGAAGCCGCCCCTGGACCTGACCCGCGCCGTCAACAAGCAGCTCCGCCAGGAAGACGCCGAGGCTGCAGCCGGCAAGGCCAAGGGCAAGAAGCGCGGGCAGCGCGGCAAGAGGGGGCGGCGGCAGCAACAGAGACCGGGCGGCGGCGGCGGCGCCAAGGGCAAGAAGAGCGGAGGAGCCGCCCGGAGAGGGAGCCAGGGGGGCCCTGGCCGCATCGGGGGCAAGAGGAAAAAGAAATGAGTCGTGCCACCGAGGGCCTGGTGGTTGGGGTGGGGGAGACGGAATGGGCCCCGGTAATAGCCTCCTTCAGCTGGTGAGATGCTTGCCCCCGAAGCCTCAGCTGCTGGTTTTTGATACGTGGCTAAATGACAGTGTGGCTTTAGCCTGTGGCAGTTTTCCTCTATAGTTGGACTGTGGCCTTACACCTTCAGAGACAGACTTCCTGGGAGTTAGTAAAAAGGGGAGATGATCTTGCCCCTCAAAAATCTCAGCCGCCCCAATTTCCATAACTGGAGTGGGTTTGATCAAACTGATGATCTCAGAAGGAACACTCTTCACCTGACAAGAAGTGCTGTGTTTTCCTAGGACACAAACACTGACACAGTGCTCAGATGCCAGTGCTAGTTTAAAATGGGTGGTGCATGTTATCAAGAAGGTTGATGGAGCTCCAGCTCAGTTATCATTTTTTTAGATTTTACTGTGATTTGGATTGATGTTTACCTTGCACCCAAAGAAGTGAAGTCATTGCAAGGGGTATAGAGTTGAAATACTTGAAAAAAATCTCTTTTATACAGAATAAAAAGAAACAAATACGCTACCTTAATATGTGTTTGGTTTTAATGAGATCTGAAGTAAAAGCACCCTTTGAAAATATGTAATAGCTGTACTGCCTGTAGACTGCAACAAGATGCTGGAGCATCAGAGCAACTGCAGTTTTCATGCATAATTTGCAAACTGGTATTAGATATAATATGAATCTTTATTCACAGCCGTTGTTCTAAGGAGGGGGAGAGTTTAAAGAGATGCATGAGACCATGTTTTGGGTAAAGGTTTACATTTTCTATGCTTGAACTAAAAGAACACAAAAAGGTGTATCTTTCTCTTAAATTGAATGGTTCACTAAAATAATTTCCTAATTTGAAAGTAGATTTTGTTGAGAAAACCAAAGAAGAAACTTTAAGGGTGTAACTTAGAACTTTCAGTGGAAAACGTCACGGGTCTTCTATGTCTCCGTCCCTCCCACCCCGGCATTTCCATCCCTGAGAAAATTGATTCCAGAGATCCATATGGAGTGACAGGTTATGAGGGTTGGTTGCTGCAGGGAACAGTGGGAAGCAAGCAAAATCACTCTCTTACTGTGGTGGTGGAGGAGGGATGATTTTGCCCACTTCTCACCACAGCTTGATTATTACTATGGCTTTCACTCTGCACAGATCCCACAAGCAAGTGGGTCACTGTATCCAATCCTGCTTTTTCTAGCGAACCCCTTAGTTTTCAGGGACTTGGATGTCTGAGCAGAGACAGCTGTTTTAAAGTTTGGATGGAAAGTGAGAGAGACCTTTGTCATTCTATCAGTTTTATCCAAAGAAGCATTGTGCATCACTACAGCTTTTTCTAATCAAAGTGGATTGTTTCAAGGAGCCCTAGGCCCCGGTCACACGGGCCGGATAACGCGGGGGGAAGGCGGGGCTTTTTGCACTGCCGCAATTAGAGCCGCCATGACGCGATCCCATGCGTCGGCATGCTATGGTTCCTTCCCTCCGTGCCTGCGCATCAAGGAGGGGCCGGAAGGAAAAGCCGCGGCTGGCACGATCACACCGAGGGACTCCGGAGGCAGCCCGTGGCAAATCGATTGCTAGTACCTCCGAGCAGGTAGTTTTTAATCCCGCATTTTCGGCAGTATGCCACAGGTGCGCTCCACTTACCAGATGTTGTGTGATCGCGCCCGGATAATCCGCCATGCACTCATCGCTCTCCCACGGCAAATCCTCCGTGTGAACGGGGCCCTAGTACATTTAATCATGTGAGTGGAAGACTGCTGTTTCATTTTACAGACTGGGCATTAAATCTTGGGTAATATGTTTTCCTTGAACCCAATTAAAAAGCCAAGTCTACCCATGCACTTGAAGTAGCTTCCTATGCAAAACTCAATATTCACTACCTGCAAGTTCTATGTGCGTTTAGTATTATCTATTTATTGTGCTCAGTTGCATAATATGCACTATCTTGAAATTTACTTGCTGTCTTGAGTAACTGAGTTTGAGGCAAGAGGAAAGTTGATGGAACTATGGTGTGTAGTTCAGTTATAGAGCAGTTTTGTTCTGATTCCATGTTTTCTAGAAAACATTTTTTTGCATGGTTATTTTCTTTTTGAGGTTTTCATTAGATGTAACACCCATCTATTTGAACATATTTTGCAAAGACATCTGAAGAGTTAATTAGTGGTTACATAGCCTTGTTGAGATTACCTTCAGCAGATGGTTCTGCCTCTGAATTGTGTATTGATCCTTAGAAATGCTACAACTCCAGTATTTCAAGCTGAGTTAAATGTAATGTGAACTCCTTAATAACCCATATTTTCTTTACCTGGGAGGGTATTTGCTTACTACTTATATTACATTTATTTATTTAAATATACCCTGCCTTTCATCGTGGTTCAAGGCAGCTTACAACAATAGTTAAACGTAGGCCTCGGTCACACAGAATTTGCCGCGCAAAAGGCACGAATGCTGGGTGGATTTTTGGGGCACAATCACACCACAACATCTGGCAAGTGTAGTGCACCCATGGCGTGCCACCGAAGATGCGCAGTTAAAAAGTACCTGCAAAGATCTACTAGCAAATGGTTTGCCACGGGCTGCAGATGGACTCGTTCAGTGTGATCGTGCCAGCGCACACCTATTCCCTCCAGCCATCCTCTTTGCAGCGCGTGCCGAAGGACAAAATCCCGGTGCACCACCGTCGCGTCTGATCGCATAATGCCGGATCAGAATGCAACGGTGTAAATAGCCACACACACACACGCATTTTCCGGCACATATGGCTGGGGCCATTTTCAGTTAAAACCAGAATAAAATAACAAACCCAAGATCTTTCCCTCACCCTTTAAAGATGCCTGCCATTCAAACTCCCCTCAAAAGCCCTGGTAAGCAAGCAAGTCTGCAGTGCCTCCTGAAGATGTCCAATGAAGGGCCCCCTCATTTTGACAGAGCGGGATCAATGATGGAAAAGGCCCAGGCCCTGGTCAGTTGCAGACAGGCTGTGCTAACTGGTGGGACAGCCAACAGATATCTGGCTGTAGACAGTATTTGGTGTACAGGGATATATAGAAGGATGCAGTCAAATATGTCCTATTTCACTTGGGCTGCTTCAGCACAGCAACAAGTAGTTCTCGTTGGTGCTGTAAGTGCAGTCAGTCACAACAGCCACACAGTTTTGCATGTACTTTTCTTACCTCAGCTGCAGCCCCACCACTGTTTTGCTCTCCACTACCAGTAAGTGTTTTTTTTAAAATCTGCATTTGTTAGATTGCTATAGCACAATAGTACTATAATTATATATTGTCACAGTCTAACTCCTGAATCCCTAATGTTCCCGTTTTGAAACCAAAAAGAAACCTCTAGCTCATTTGGTTGTGAAGATATCAAATGTGTTGCCTTTCTAATTGGCCTAAGCTAGTCCAATCACATCGGACTAGAAGCTTAGCAGGGTAGCTATGCAGAGACAGGCAATGGCAAACCCCCGTTTCACCAGTGCCTTTAGTTGATGATGTGGGTTTTTTTCAACAGGCACTGGTGAAGGAGGAGAATGGGAAGATTGAAGAAACTGGCACTGTTGTAGATTTTAATTACTGAAATTTTGTAAACAATTGCCAATCCTATTTCCATTAAACTGAGATTTTAAGAAGTTTTATTTTAATCCATGTATTTTATAAATTTAGTTTACCTGGATGGCCAAGGTCAGACATCCATCTTGTCAGATCTTGGAAGCTAAGTAGAGTTAGCTCTGGCTTACTCTGTTAGTCTCTTGCCTTGAAAACCCTACGGGGTTGCCATAAGTCAGCCATGACTTGACAACGGCACTGTCCACCATCATTTTATAAATTAGTAGGCACTGCATTTTCTTCTAGCCCCTCTCCCAGTCAAATTGTGGCCCTAGGGTAGGAACTAATTAGGCACTTAGGCCATATACCTGTAAACCGTCCAGAGACCCTCGGGTAAAGGGCGGTATACAAATCGAAGATATAAATAAATAAATAATGCTGTTTGTATTATTTCTGTTAATTTCTCACAGGGTCTAATGACTAACTTTTTAAAGAGTAGAAAACTCCAAACATCAATTCTGATAAGCCAGATCTGTTACCAATATTGTGGGTAACTTGATTCAAATGTTTGGTAAAACTGCTCTAAAATAGAAAAGGGTGGGGAAATTTCATTCTCTCCTTCCTCTCGCCCAATCAGCTGCCTTTTCCTCAGCTACTCTCTCTACCTGTTCTTTGCACAGTGGGTTGGACCATTCATGGATATTCGATATATGCTGGGGCACCTGAGTCTTGCCCCTATTAAACATCCATCAGAGTCTGCCAAAGTTATTTCCCTGTATTCTGTATTTTAGTCACTCCATCCCTGGCACTCATGCTTTGGCTTGCATAGAGAAGTGCTGTGCAGAAGGAGGGAGAGTACTTTTGTCCAGGGTTCAGCTCTTCCATAAGTGAATCTATGGGCAGAACTGAGCTGTCTTTCAGCCTCTCCTCAAAGAGTGCCAATTAAGTCAAGTGTGACCATAGCAATAAAAGATGGCTCAAAGTTTTGACGTTTCTTAAATGTGCCAGCTATCTGCTTTGTGTGTGTACAATACCAAGTTTGTGCAAATGTTGTTCAAGAATGCTAAAGCAGCTGTTGATTTAGTGCATCAGTATTACTGACTTTAGCTTTCTGCATGTAGCAAAATCTTGACAATTATGTTTTGACATCTGTTCAACAAATAGACCATTTTGAGGATTATAACTTTCCATATCTCTGTATCAATGGTGGAGCAATAAAGTTTTAAAACTAGACCTGATAGAAGTTGTTGAATGCCTAGTGGGTAAACAGTCTGAATTAACAAATTGCAAAATCTGCCTGGCCTTGAAAACTCACTCTGTTAGGCAGTTAAACCTGAGCAGTGAAAAGCTGCAATGAACTAACTTGCCAAAAGATCTGGGAATATGGAAAGAGCGACTGCTTTCTTGGTTCCTCCTCTTTGTTTACAGTTTGCAGCTCCTGGCCCTGAGTTTACTTTCCCATCATGCTGTGCTGTCCCAAGCAGCTGCTGCAATGGCAGGAGGGAGAGAGAGGGTGGTATATTTGCTGAAACAGCTGCATCGTGCGTCGTGAGTATTTGCTTCTGCAGGAATTTGCTCCGTTGGTTGTCTTGAATCAGCTGGGTGGGCTCCAGCAAAGCCATCTTGCTTTCTTAAAGTTTTGCCAGGTTGAGAAACTTTTTAAGACACGAAGAATCACAGTTATCATTTGTTGCAAGAGGTCTTGATAAATCTGCAGATCTTAATGTCCAGGATCTAGATGTGGTTGGGAAAATGAGCTATCTTAGCCTGTCTTATTTTCCTTGTTGCTGTGAGAAACAGCCAGCAAAAGGGTATTCAGAGAGCTCAGAAATGGACGTTGGTGTTTGCAGGGAGTTTGGTCTGAGAAGGTTCCATTAGGCTTCTGTGGGTACAAAATGTAACTGCAGACCTGATAGTTTTTCAGTATAAGTATGACTTTTTGCCATGTGAAATCTTTCATATGCCAAAATACAGTTCCATGTGTATTAACAAAAATGCTGCCAGATTTTTGGCTTCAAACTATAAGGCATGTGGTGAAAATGTACACAGAACTCCTGTTGCAACTTTATGGAACTGTTCCCAAAGAAATGTCTGTGAACTATAGTCTTTTTTTGTTTGTTTGTTTGTTTCTGGTTCTCAGTTTTCTTAGAAAAGTTTTCAAGGTTTTTTTGTTTTTGTAAAGAGAACTTGTATAATCAAACTGGTACAACAGAGAGAGCTGGAGATGCATTCTTTAAAAAAAAAATTCTTTCTCTGCCGTTTTCAATTGCTACCTAGGAGCAGTGAGGGCCAAAGTACAAGTGACAGCAGCCATGGGTCCATCCTCTGACCACCACCACCCCCATTTTAAAAGCATTTGTAGGTTTTAAAAATTGCTAGGAGGCCCTAATCAGCCATGCAGTGCAGCAGCCTCAAGAGCTCCTGTTCCCCCCCCCCCCCCAGGTGCTTTTTAAAGTGAAAGGTAAAGGGGGAAGAAAGAATTACACCCGGGGCCATTGCACACCTGATCTGGATTTTGGGCCCTGCAGCAATTTGTTTTTTAAACTACAAATGCTTCTAAAATGGCTTTGGTGGCCATGCAATGGACCCATTTTTTTTTTCCTGCTGTCATTTGTAGTTGGGTTCTTAGCCTTCCTTTCACTATCTGGGTTCTCCGTAGTACATGTATAGGGCTTCCAGACTCCAGGTGGGACCTGAAGTTCTTCTGAAATTAGACGCAATCTCCAGACGACACAGATCAGTTCCCCTGAAGAAAACGGCTGCTTTGGAAGGTGGACACCCTGCTGAGGTCCCTCCTCTCCCCAAGCCCTGCCCTCCCCAGGCTCCACCCCTCAGGTCTGCAGAAATTTTGCAACCCTGTGTGTCACTGTTGTATTTGAACACAAAGGAATCAAAGTCCTCCCACATGAACCCTCTCCACTGAAAGTAACTGCTAAGTCCTTCTAAAAACAATGCGGAGTAGCTACCATGGGTTCCTGACCTTTTTCGGCCTGCAGGCACCTCTGGAATTCTGACACGGAACGATGGGTGCAGTCACAAAATGGCTGCCATAGGAGCCGGAGCCATCCACGAAATGTCAGGGAGTGAGGTCATGCATAACTCTAACAATAAATCTTCAACATTTCACACAGAACCTCTGTTTAACAAGATCCCTTTTTAAAAGCCCCATATGCTTAGGAACATAAGAAGAGCCCTGCTGGATCAAATCAGTGGTCCATCTAGTCCAGCATCCTGTCTCACACACTATCCAACCAGTTCCTGTGGCGGCCCACCAACATGGAATAGAGGCTGAGGCCTTCCATGATGTTGCCTCCTGACACTGGGATTCAGAGGGTTACTGCCTCTGAACACAGAGATACCTTTTAGTCTCCACACCTAGTAGCTGCTGATAGATTTAACCTCTATGAAGCTATCCAATCCCCCTTGAAAGCAGTTTATGCCTATGGCCATCACTGCATCCTCTGGCAGTGAATTCCATGTTTTAATCACACAATGGATTATTTCCTTTTGTCCATTCTGGATCAACTGCCCTTTAGCTTCTTTGAATGTCCCTGTGTTCCAATTCTATCTACCCCATAAACCGCTATCATGTCCTCCTTTAGTTGTTTCTTTTCTGTACTGAAAAGTCCCAGACTCTTCCACTTTTCCTTATAGGGAAGGTGCTCCAACCTCCTAATCTTCTTGGTTGCCCTCTTCTGTACTTTCTCCAGCTCTGTGATGATACAGTGACCAGAACTGCACAGTTTTCCAAATGAGTCTACACCACTGATTTATACAGGGGCATTATAATATCAATTGGATTTATACCCCACCTTTCACTTGGAGTCTCAGAGCGTCTTACAAACTCCCTTCCCCTCCCCACAACAAACACCCTGTAAGGTAGGTGGGGCTGAGAGCTCTGAAAGAACTGTCCTTGGGAGAACAGCTCTGACAGAACTATGGCTTGCCCAAGGTCATCCAGCAGCTGCGAGTGGAGGAATGGGGAATCAAACCTGGTTCTCCCAGAGTAGAGTCCGCGCACTTAACCACTACACCAAATAGTGGTTAAATAATGCTGCTGGCCCCACTAACCTTTGTGGAACTCTACTCCATTGTGAGAACTGTCCATTTATCCCAAGTCTTTGCTTTGTATCTGTTGTGGGTGGCAGATAGAAAGCTTCTCTAATGGCTGCCACCACTCTGATATGGGTCTCCTTGGGAGGGCTCAGAGCACCCACTCTACTCCTTTATACATTCCTTTTCCAGTTGGTTTCCCCTTATAAATGACCAAATGAGGTGGGAGGACCCAGGCAAAATAACAAACTATTTTTATTAAATAGATTTAACAACAACTAGAATTCAATAACATGTAGGAAAAATGAGCACAGTAAAGGTAGGTAAACCAGCAAAATAAGAAGCCCTAACACGTCTGACTATACTGTACCTAGCCTTCTGTGGCCAAATAGGCCTCAAGCTGACTCACCCCGTTTGAATCTCTCCATTTGCAGCAGCTTCCCACCATCTCTACTCCCTAGGAGTGAACCCCCTCCCACTTTGGACAAAGCCTTTTATCTCTTCTTCCCAGGCACCACCATCTACTCTACCACTGCCCAAATATAGGGGGCAGTGACTCTACTGGCATACGTTTCCCCTCCAAATCCCCTGTTAACCAATCACAGGGTCCAGAGGAGACCTGGGAAATGTAGGCCCTAATAGCTGCTCTAGTACAGGCTTCCCTGGATCCACTAGGCCTCCCTAGAGCTCGTAGGCCACACTATTATAGGCCTGTGATCATGACAGTGTCATTGAACCACTTTTCAATCTATAAGAGAACCCGTCCTCTTATCCCATGAGTGATATCTTTGGTGAGGTGTCTTGTCAAAAGCCTTTTGAAAGACCAAGTATATAGTGTTTACTGTGTCACTGTTGTCTACATTCTTGTTCACTTTCTCAAAGAACTCCAAAAGGTTGGTGAGACAGGACCTCTCTTTGTTGAAGTCATGCTTATTTTCCCTCAGCAGGCTTTGTTCTTCTATGTCCCTAATAACTCTGTCTTTGATTACAGTTTCTTGTATTTTGCCTGGGACAGACATTGGGCTAACTGTCCTGTAATTTCCTGGTTTTCCTCTGGACCCCTTTTAAAAAATCAGTGTAACATTTGCTACTCTCCATTCTTCTGGTACAATGGCTGACTTTAGTGATAAGTTATCACTGACTACCATCTGTGAATTAGTTTAGGCTGTTACCACATTAGAAACTTTACTGGTGATTCCCTCTTGTCAACTGAAATTTCTATGTCATAAGAAATACAGAGCGGCTTTGCCCTCTTAATATACTTCATGACTAATTGACTCATAAGCAGATATTTGAAGCTGTAAGAGCTGATGAAGATTTACAGAAATAGGATTGTTGTTACTGGCTCCCTGTATTCTTGCAAGCTTCCTTTTGCAATTTTTGGAAACAATGAGAATTCTTTGAAGTGCTACACTTCTGTAAAATTGTATATTGGCCCCGGTCACACGGAGCATTAGGCACGCTAAAGAGACGGAAGATAGGCGGATTTTCCAGGCATGATCTCACCGCCACATCTGGGAAGCGTAGAGCTCCCGTGGCTCACCCAAGGCTTCACTCCGAAGATGCGCTGTAAAAAAACTAGTACCTCCGAGGTACTAGTTTCCGGAAACCGCGGGGCAAGGGCGGGTGTCAGATCACGTTTCCGGTGTTAGCTCGTGACATCCGGCGCCCGCCCATGTCCCGTCGCAAAAAGGGGGGAGGTTTGTCAAGTCTCCACGGGTGCGCACAAGCACCCAACGGCGCATGCGAACACTTGGGTTAAAAAAAAAACAACAACCCATGGCGTCGCTTCTTTGCCGCGCCGCAGGAGTGAGGTATGATCAGCACCTCCCCCCAACCACGGGACGTCGGCGGGACGTTTGATCTGGCTGCCGCACGGTAGTTCGCTCTGGGGCAAACAGCCACGCCTCCCCCCCCCCCCGCGATATCTGGCCCGTGTGACCAGGGCCATAGTTCATTTTTAATTATAATTTAGTTGTATATGCAGTGTATCTCTAACAAAATTCTTTTAGACTTGGCAATGCCGCTTTCTAAAAACACTTGGTGGACACCATGGTGCCCTCGGGTGCCACGTCGGGGACCACTGGCATAGACTGTGACTGTAATCTTATCTTCAAAAAGACCTCAGAAAGGAGACTTCAGACATTACTGATTAGTGCTAATCAGGTTAAATCCCCAAATATAGTTTGCAAATTCACTTCAAACCATGGTTTCAAATCATGGTTTGTGAGCAGTCTGTGGACAGTACTAAGAAGAGTTTGTCTCACTTGGGTCTCACAGCAAACTATGGTTAACCAAAGCCAGAAAGGTATAAAGAAACCATGGAAGAGGGAGAAAGGATGGATCATGTGGAGCTGGAAACACATGAGGCCACAGCGTGTCCAGGCCATGGATTGCTACAAATGTGTGTGTGTGTGTGTGTGTTTGTGTGTGTGTGTGTGTTAAGTGCCATCAAGCTGCTTCTTACTTATGGCGACCCTATGAATTAGTGACCTCCAAAACGTCCCATTGCTAACATCCTTGCTCAGATCTTGCAAACGGAGGTCCATGGCTTCCTTGATTGAATCAATCCATATCATGTTGGGTAGTTCTCTTTTCCTCCTGCCTTTAACTTTTCCTAGCATTATTGTCTTTGACAGTGACTTTTGTCTTCTCATAATGTGACCAAAGTATGATAGCCTCAGTTTAGTCATTTTTGTTTCTATGGAGAGTTCAGGCTTGATTTCATTTAGAACCCATGTATTTGTGTTTTTGGCAGTCTGTGGTATCTAAAACTCTCCTCCAACACCACATTTCAAATGAATCAACTTTCTTCCTGTCAGCTTTCTTCACTGTCCAACTTTCACATCAATACATGGTAATGAAGAATACTGTGACATGAATTATCTTGATCTTGGTCACCAGCAACACATCCTTACAATTAAGGGTTTTTTCTAGCTCCTTCATGGCTGCCCTTCCCAGTCTAAATCTCCTTCTGATTTCTTGATTGCAGTCTTCCTTTTGATTGATGATTGAGCCAAGGAATAGAAAATCTTTAACAATTTCAGTTTTTTCATTGTCATCCTTAAAGCTCTGTAATTCCCCAGTAGTCATTATTTTTGTCTTCCTGATGTTCGGCTGTAATCCTCCCTGGGCAGTTTCTGCTTTAATCTTCATTAGAAGTCATTTCAAATCTTGGCTTCCGGTCCGGCTTCCGCAAATGGCGGACGCATCCTCGGGGCGCTCCCAAGGGCGTCTCGCCCGCCCGCGGCCGAGGGGGGATCCGCGCAAGCGGAGACCCGGACAAGCCCCAGAAGGGGCTCCGACTCGGGGCGCGTGAGGGGCAAAGCCTCTTTCTCGACCGGAAGGTCGGAAATTGAGGCTCCCCTCATGCCCTAATGAACCTCGCCGCGTTCGCGGCCCCGCACGGGGCTTAGCGGAGCCGCCAGACGCCACCTGAGTGATGAAGCGAAAAATCGATGAACTGAAAAGAAGCAGCTGAAACTGTGAGTTGTCAATCGAGATAATGAAAAGAAGTTAAGCGTGTTCTCCCCCCCCCAAGCGAAAGAGGAGATACTCCGGTACTCCCGTTTAAAAGAAATTTTAAAGGAGAAAGGGGGGGGGGAGACTGAAAGTTGAGGAAGGTGGTGTCACCGGGCGATTGATTTGCTGAAAGAAAATGATGCTGATTTATCTTCTAAGTGCACCCTGTGAACTTTGATCAATGTAAACAAAATGAAAAAGATGTCGGAGCTGAAATAAGAGCTGCGCAACAAGAAGGGTGTATCTTCCGGTTTGAGTGACTGTCTCTTGCGGGCTTGTTCCTTAAAAGCGAAAGCAGCTATGAAAAAGGAAAATGCCCTTAAAGCGGAGATGTGGATAAATGACCTAGCTATGAGAACGACAGCGTTTATTTTAAAGTCGAATGACAAAAAAAAGAGAAAAAAACCGTTCTGGAAGCTTGGGACTTTATCGGGAAGGCGGATCGGGTGATGCAAAGTGCCAAATGCATGCTGCGACCTGAAAGTGATGACCCGGAAGAGAAGCGGTGAAACGGAGAGGAGCGCGTAGAGGAGGACCTCCCCTGTCGTTTTGGAGAAGAAATCAGCCCGAAGATGGAAGAACCAATTTGCAGGGTGTCTGAAAAGCCATTTATTAACAGTTTAACAGTGGGACACTACTAATTCCTTTTTTTTTTAACATTCTTTTAACTGAGATGATGAAAGACGATTGACCACCACAATGAAGCCAAAGAAGAATTTTTTTAACTAATTGTAACAGACTAACAAACTAATGGAAACATCACTCGACCTTTTCTTTACCCCGCTATATACCCTCCCCCCTTTCTAATATAAAAAGCAATAAAGTTCTCTCCTTTTTAGGAGAGTTTATAAACAGAAGAAGTCATTCCAAATCTTCACTATTGTCTGTCAGTAATGTGGTGTCATCTGCATATCTCAAATTGTTAATATTCTTTCCACTAATTTTTACTTCACCTTCATTTAAATCTAATCCCACTTTCCTTATGATATGTTCTGCATATAGATTGAGGTTACTAAAACATATAAATTGATTAGAGCTTGTACTTGAGAAGAAACTTGAACTTCTATTTCCCTCACAAAATCTCCTATCACATCAGTAGACCTACTTTTCTTTATAGGTTGAGTTGGAGAGAACTGATCATACTATAGAGCTGTTCAGCCGTACAGTTTGGGAGTAAGTCCTATTGAACTCAAGGAGACTTTGGATCAATAAATAGTATCAAACTGCAGTTAGGGTTACCAAATCTGAGTTGGGAAATTCCTGGAGATATGGGGAGTGAAATCCGGGGAGGCTGGGGTTTGAAGAGAGGCAGGACCTCAACTGGGTATAGTGCCATAGAGTCCACCTTCCAAACCAGCCATTTTCTCCAGGGGAACTGATCTGTATAGTCTTAAGATCCATTGTAATTCCAGGAGATCTCCAGGCCCCAAGTGGAGGCTGGCAACACTGAGATGCATTGCTGATATCTTAAACTGATCATACTAGATGGTAATTTGCATTTAAGTGACACCTGACTCAAATATGTGTGTGGTCAAGCTAAATCCTAAACACAATTACCTGTGAGAAAATTTAATGGAAAGAAATCTCAGAAAATTTATTTTCTCATAAAAATGACTAGCTTTGATTATAAATGTAATCTCATTTTCTCCCACAGCACAACTTAAAGTGGGAACTAAAGTAGTCTGTTACTGTTTCTCCGAGGCCTTCTGCAAGTCTCACACTCAGTCTTTGCTCTTTGGTGCGCCACAGCTGGCTCCTCTTGGGGCTCTTGTGGTTGCTGCCTCTCACTGGAGGCTTCTTCTCAGGTCACTCTGTTCTCTGCACTGGGACCCCAATGGCTTCTCTCTCTTTTCCCAACTCAGAACTCCTTTTTCTCAGAACCCACCTAGGCTCCATCTGAGGGACAAAGTACCTTCCCCCCAACCTCCAGCAGAGGGCCACATCCACAGGGTTATATAAAATAACATCGTAAAGTTGCCCCAGCCTTTGGCTAAGAGCACAATTTGTAACGTTGCCAGTCTCCAGGTGGTGGCTGAAGATTTCCCAGAATTACAACTCGTCTCCTGATGACAGAGATCAGTTCCTCTGGAGAAAATGGCCACTTTGGCAGGTGGACTCTATGGTATTATACCCCACTGAGGTTCCTCCCCTTCCCAAACTCCACCCTTCCCAGCTCCCCACAATCTCCAGGTATTTTCTAACCCAGAGTTGACAACCCCATGAATCTGTGTAGCAAGGGTGGGGGAGTCACAAAAATGAATCAAAAATATGGGTTTGGGTTTTGGAATGTCTGTGCTGCTTTTGTCGCTAAGGAAACCCTTAGTGTGTCTTACTGAAATTTCCAAAATACAAACAAGCAATTAATATAATTTAAATAAGCAAAGTAAATGATTAAATGATTCACTGAACTGGCTAAAGCAGTCTCCACACTATGAACCAAGGCTTCGGAGCAAAGATCGTGGCTGTTGTGTTTAATTTTCGTTTCCTAGTGCTTTTTGATGCCCCCAGAGAGGTTAGCCTGACACACGCCCTGTTTAAAGTGCACTCAAACCAGATTCAACAGTTAGCCAAACATATGTAAAAAGACTTAATTATTTTTTCAGTAAGGAAAGATTCTTAACACTTTATGACACTAGATGGCAGGATACTGTTGTGAAAAAATTGTAATACAGCACATGTTCCTCTTTCTTTTCCTTAGATGCATGTGCCCTGCTCACTCCCACACTTATTCACAAGGTAAGGCTATCTTTTTTGTGTGTGTATTCAAAGATTATCCTCTGATAAGAGACGAAAAATGCTGGAAATGGGAAAACCGTGTGTAATGATTCCTTGTTTTACTGTGTGTGTGTTCCTTTAAATGCTTGGTTGGAGTGCAGTGTTAGTAGAGTAGAGTGATTGAGAGAGACAAGTGTGTTGTGATTGGTGGAGGACGGAGAGTGTGGAAGGAGTTGTTTGGAGTGAATCTGTGTGTGTCTTGAAGTCAGTTTGAGTGAATCTGAGTTATGGAGAGGTCAGATTTAGAGTGAGTCAGTCAGTGATTGAGCTGACAGAGTCTGTGTGGAAACGTAAAGAGTTCAGAGTTTAAGAGTTTAAATGTGAAGGAGCTATGAGAAGTGTCTGTGAGACTCTAAAGAAAGAGAACCAATAGTACAAAGAGCTAAGCCAGTGTGGCTGCCTATGTGAGAGATTCCTGTCAGAGTGGGATCTTAATGTCAAAAGACTGTGTGTGATACCTTGCCCGTTTATTTACCAGTTCCTTTTCCCCAATACAGTTACAGTTAACCAGCAACTTATTTTTTGTTCCTTAATCAATAAATCATATTTTGTTTAAGTTAACCCAGAATTCAGTTCAATCCTTCCTCAGGGCCACATTGACCTTTAAAAGCTCAGACCCTGGGTCACATTACCAACAGCAGAAACAGAGAGAAGATTTGTAATTTCTTAAAATTCCTGGTGGTCGCAGAAACTACACAGTTTATTACACAAAGAATAATTTTAAAGTGGAAACAGTCCCCCCAAATAAGCAGTGCACCACACCCTGTGATGTATTTTTAAGGGAAAAATGACATTTTAAGGGAAATGAAATACATGTAATACTGATTTTCATATCAAATCTAAATATAATGTACTGCTTTAAAACATAAAATGAATCATTTGTGACTAGGGTGACTGGTAGGAGACCCCACATGGGGGGGGGGGCAGCTTGCATCAGTGGTTTGATGTCACTTCCTGATTCCTTGATGTCATTTTCCTGATCCAGAAGTGATGTCATACATTCTAGGAATCACTGTAAATGCTATGGTTCCACCGTAGAGTTTCAGGCAATTCCTAGAGAATCATAATGGTTTTCCTGAAAGTGAGGTCATGCCATAGGCCTAGGGTTGCCAAATGGGGGCGGGGAGCAGGGAAACCCCCGCTTTGGAGGCCCGGTTTCCGCCACAGCGGAATTGGGCCCCGGGGGGAACTCCGCCCCCCAAAGCTGCGTCACCGGAGGTGACGCGGCCACGTTGCTGACGTTGGGAGCGTGGCTGAGCTCGTCGGGGGGAAAACCACATGGTTTTCCCCCCGACGAGCTCGGCCACGCCCCCAACGTCAGCAACGTCGCATGTCACTTCTGGTGATGTGGCGGCGGCGGCGCGCGCGCATACGGACCTTCTCCTGGACTCGACAGAGCGTCCCCCGCCGGTAAGTTTGCCAGACTTGGCAACCCTACATAGGCCTTGTCACAAATGCTAATTTCTCCGGGTCAAAACGTTTGTGTTCAAAGAACAGGTTGCACAGCACAATTACAAATTACTTAAGGAAATCTAAAAACCCCTCAAGCCTCGGGTAGTCCACCACCAGGTCTTTTAGTAGTTCCCAACAATCCTGGCGTAAAAGACCAAACTTCCAGACTGTCTATGGAACTTAACACACAAGGTCAGCCCTGCAGAGTGGAACTACAGGCTGAGCTCAAAGACAAACAGTTACTTTTGGCAGTGGTCAAGAGTCTAAGGCAATGAACCTTTGAGGTTCAAGGAGCACAATGCCACGACAGAGTAAAAATATAAGTTGTTTATGAAGGTGCAAACGTATTTAAAAATAAGACTTTAGACAGTGAAGGGAAAATAATAAACTCTAAGCATAACCAGCATAACTAAAACTTACAAAACAGTTGCAGAGTTACCTTTCCAGGTTACAAAGGGGTGCAGTAGTCCAAGATGTTTCAAACAGCTCATCCAGGCAGAGTCAATTGCCGGGTTGCTCTAGGACTATTGACCAAGTAAGGCCCCATAGTCCTAGGTACCACAATCCCACAGAATGAAACCTTATTTTATAGAAAAAAGGGGTCTCTGACTAGCCCAGGCCTTTGACCAGTCACAGACCAGAAAAGTGATGTAAGCTTTTCACTGTTGCTAAAGTTTAAGAGATCCCATAATACTTAAGGGCAGAGGAGAATCGAAATCTATACTACAGTTTAAGGGCCGATACTCCAATGCACAGGTGCTAATAATTCAATCATTCTGGGTTGTGCTTAATTGGGCTGGTTGCTTTCCGGGCAGTCACAAGCTGAATCTAGCCAGCTGAAAGCCGTCTACCAAGATCACAGTGCCTCTATGTCTCTAGGGAATGTTTCTATGCAGGCCCCTTTCAGAGCCTGAACCAAGATTTTTTATGAAGCCACAGAAATAGGAAAAATGGCTTTTCATGACAGTCCTATCAAGTCTTTTTTTTTTCTCCCATTGCCACTCCAAATGGAGGTTGGAAAGCTGAGGATGCCCTGTCACACCCCCACCAGGGGGACAGCATCCTTAACTGCGACTTAGCATCTACCAGTGAAATATGTGGTATTTTTATGAAATGTTTTCTACAAAGGAGAGCTGCAAATTTCTGCACTCTATGGTACCTTAGCACATATATCTTAGTTTTTGACACCAGAGAGGTGGGGGGAAACTTTAGGGGGGGGGAATCTATGTAGGATGTAGATATATGCAATGTTTTTCAATCAAATATGCACTGTTTAAACATGACTAATGGTGTCCACAATTAATAACATGTCATGTATATGAGTATAAGGAAGAGTTCAGTGTTCTAAATACTGTAAAAATTTAACTCAGTGTTCAGTGCTCTAGATACTGTAAAGATTAACTCAGTGTTCAGATATGCTGCTGGCCTTATAATGACTGTATGAGACTGTGGCTGTCTGGGGTTGCCAGCCTCCAGGTGGGGCAAGGAGATCTCTTGGAATTATAGCTGCTCTCCAGGCAAAAGAGTACTTTACCTGGATAAAAAGGCTGCTTCAGAGGGTGGGCTCTGTGATACTATAGCCAGCTGAGGTCCCTCGGCTTCCCTGACTCCACCCCCAAAATCTGCAGAAATTCCCAACTTGGACTTGGCAACCCAAAGATTGTGATCTAGGGTTGGACCCAGACAGCTTTTTTCCACTGATTCTCACGCACTCCCTCCCATTACTACAACACCCTCCCTCCCTCCTGACTTATGTGGATAAAGAGCCTGTGTGGTTTCGGTAGAAAGAAAGTGGACAAGCAAGGGAAATTATGAGGTCTGGGGATGACATACACTGTAGTCATCTAGTAGGAAGTAAACTGTAGAGTTCCACAAAGAAAATATGGACTCAACCCTGTTTAGTGTGACTTTAGCTGGACCAGAATGTTGCCCTATATCTATCTGCCATGAGAGCATTTTATCATAAAGAAGTGTGTACATGGCTTAATCAGTGCATGAATCACAAGGAGTCCTGTGTTAAGGTGCTTTTTAAAAGGAACCATACTATTAACATTCTATACTCAAATTCAGTCTTGGGTTGTATTAAAAGGGCCATAGCATCGAAATCACAGGAGGTCATAGCCCCTTTGTATACTGCCTTGGTCAGGCCGCACCTTGAGTACTGAGTGCTGTTCTGGAGGCCTCACTTCAAAAAGGATGTGGACAAAATCGAGAGGGTGCAGAAGAGAGCGATGAGGATGATCAGGGGTCTGGAGACTGAGCCCTACAAGGAAAGGCTTAAGGGCCTTGGGAATGTTTAGTTTGGAGAAGAGGAGACTGAGGGGGGACATGATTGCTCTCTTTAAATATTTGAAAGGCTGTCATTTGGAGGAGGGCAAGGAGCTGTTCCAGTTTGCAGCAGAGGATAGGACCTGAAGCAACAGGTTTAAATTACATGCAGAAAGGTATCGGCTGGATATTAGGAAAAACTTTTTCACTGTCAGAGTGGTTCAAAGGTGGAATCAGCTGCCTAGAGAAGTGGTCACCTCCCCTTCACTGACAGCTTTCAAGAAGAGGCTGGACGAATATTTGTCAGAAATGCTTTAGGCTGGTCCTGCATTGGGCAGGGGGTTGGACTAGATGGTCTGTATGGCCCCTTCCAACTGTGTGATTCTATATTTGTTCCATTAAATGTAGTTGAGTAGGATATTTGCAGAAAGAAATCGTAGCCTGTGGAGGAATCAAAGTGCACATTTAACCACAGTGATGAGATGCTAAAAGTATGACATTACTGTGGCTCCTCTTTAAAAATCAACTTATGTTTGATGAGCATGTATATTCTGAGGGAAACAATAAAATTTTCCAAGCTCAATAAAGTCTTTAACGAAAACTAAGCTCCGCCAAATAATACAACAGCAGGACATCTATTGGCTATCAAAAGAAAATAGTGTAAATGGCTTGGAGGGTCTTTGGGATGTCAGATTAATTACGAAAAGTACAACAGGCTTAGCCATTAGGGGAAGTCAACCATGAACAGGGCTAGTGAGACACAGTGGGGAAAATGGCAGGCCTGTGTCTGAACAGAGAACACAAAAAGTATTTAAAAAATATATTTATGTGTTGAATTATTTGGGTCATCACTCCTGTGCACCCTGAAGTGTATGTAGACTACTCAGCATGGCTTCACTCACTGGACATGAATCCAAACAGCAAAGATTTAATTCAGCTACCAGACAGAAGGAGTACTATGCTCTATGGCTTGGAGGGGGGGGTTAAAAAGGGTAGCATTTGATTCCTGTGGGGAATATTTCTGCCTCTTTTAGCCAGAGTGTTCTACCAGTTTCATAGGAGAATTCCAACAAACTCCCGTGCACTACCTCTACCTCAAAGTAATATTAGTCATAGAAAACAGAGAGTGAGTGTAGGTGGGCAATTTTCTCAGTGGAGGGTGGTAAGCAGTGGGGTACCGCAGGGATCAGTACTTGGTCCACTGCTTTTTAACTTGTTCATTAATGATTTGGAGATGGGAGTAAGCAGTGAAGTGGCTAAATTTGCGGATGATACAAAGTTGTTCAGGGTGGTGAAAACCAGTGAGGATTGTGAGGCACTCCAAGGGGATCTGTCAAGGATGGGCGAGTGGGCGTCAACATGGCAAATGGGGTTCAATGTGGCCAAGTGCAAGGTGATGCACATTGGAGCCAAAAATCCTAAATATAAATACACATTGATGGGGTCTGAACTGGCAGAGACTGAGCAAGAGAGAGATCTTGGAGTTGTAGTGGATAACTCACTGAAAATGTCGAGACAGTGTGTGACTGCAATAAAGAAGGCCAATGCTATGCTGGGGATTATTAGGAAGGGTATTGAAAACAGATCAGCCAATATAATAATGCCCCTATATAAATCAATGGTGAGACCTCATTTGGAATACTGTGTGCAGTTCTGGGCACCACACCTTAAAAAGGATATTATAGCTTTGGAAAAAGTGCAGAAAAGGGCAACTCGAATGATAAAAGGGTTGGAACACTTTCCCTATGAGGAAAGGTTAAAGCGCTTAGGGCTCTTTAGCTTGGAGAAAAGACGACTGAGGGGTGACATGATCGAGGTTTATAAGATTATGCATGGGAAAGAGCAGGTAAAGAAAGAGGTACTTTTCTCCCTTTCTCACAATACAAGAACTCGTGGGCACTCCATGAAACTGCAGAGCGGTCGGGTTAGAACGGATAAAAGGAAGTACTTCTTCACCCAAAGAGTGATTAACACATGGAATTCACTGCCACAGGAAGTGGTGGGTGCTACAAGCATGGATGGCTTCAAAAGGGAATTAGATAAGCATATGGAGCAGAGGTCCATCAGTGGCTATTAGCCACAAGGTATAGCTAGGGGCTCTGGGGCAAGTGATGCTCTGTCTTCTTGGTGCTTGGGGGGGTCAACAGTGGGAGGGCTTCTAATGTCCTGGCCCCACTGCTGGACCTCCTGATGGCACTGGTATTTCTGGCCACTGTGTGACACAGAGTGTTGGACTGGATGGGCCTTTGGCCTGATCCAACATTGGCGTCTCTTATGTTCTTATGTTCTTATACATAGGATGCCAGCTTCCAGGAGGGACTTGTGGATCCCTTGGAATTATAGCTCATCTCCAGACTACAGAGATCAGTTCCCCTGGAGAAAATAGATGCTTTGGATTCTGTGGCATTGTAGCCACCGAGATCCCTGTCCTCCCCAGGCTCCTTCCCCTGATCTCCAGGAGTTTCCCATCCTGGATCTGGCAACCCTTGCCACCCCCATCCCCCACTGGTTGCTAAGAGAGCAGCGTTCCCTCTAAACTGAGTCAGTGTGAGCTAGCTCACAGTTTTTGAGCCTCTGGCTCACACATTTTTGTCTTAGCTCAGGAATAGGGTTGCCAAGTGGCACTTACCTTGCCAGCGGGGGACTCCCGTGCGGACCCTGGTGCATGCGCACGCATGCCGCATGCACGTCACAGGGAAGTGACGTCATGATGCCGGGCATGCTGGGGGCGGGGCCATGACCATACAAGGGAAAACCATAGAGTTTTCCCTTGTATGGCCGTGGGCCCGCCCCCAGTGTGCCCGGCGTCATAACGTCACTTCCCTGTGACGTGCACGCTGGGGCGGGGTTCCCCCCGGGGCCCGATTCCCCGACGTTGGGGAACGGGCCTCTGGGGCGGGGGGGATTTCCGCCCCCCGGGGGGACTTGGCAGCCCTACTCAGGAAGGGTGGCTCCAGAGCAAACTAATTTATGCAGAAGCCAAATCGCTCACTCACAACTTTAATGCCAGTAGCTCACAAAGTAGAATTTTTGCTGTCAAGACCCACAGCTTAGAGGGAGCATTGTAAGGGGGGACCTGGCAACCCTAGTCACACAGAATGAGAAACACAGAGAAGTATATCTATGTAGGTCCAGCCTGAAATACTTGAAGGAAACGTTTGGAAGGTTTAAGTATTTGCAGAAAAAAAATTAGAACGTGTGTGTGCTTTTTAAAAACAAAGAAGAGCAGTAGGGTTTTGAAAATAACTGTATTGATTGAATTATATATATATTGACCTTACTGGAGGTTTTATATTACACAGTCGCCTAGACACACAAAGTAGTTATATTTTTGCCCAGTTTTACTCCTTTAGTCTTGAGAGTTCCTCAAGAGCATGTAGAATTGTTGTCGGGTGCTGAGTTGAGCTGACAAAAATATTGCTTCTGTGAGGTAAACCTCCATAGGGATGTACTACCACCCTAAAATTCCTACAGGGAAGGCAGAATAAAAATGGGATAGATGTCGGTGGTGCTAATGATATATTTTTGAGCAATAAAAATGTGAAATACTAAAAGAAAGAATAAAGAGAAATATATCAACACCCTAAGGTTTACGCTTCAAAGAAAAGGATCCACAGTGACCATTTACTTTACCGAGGGCCTCTTGGATTGGGACTTCCTGTTCCTGAGGGCCCTGGATTTACACTGAGGGGTTAATATGGTTGACACAATTGGGGGGGATAGTTTGTCATTTATTGGTTTAATTTTTTTTATTTCATGCCATTTGGTTTCAAATTATATGGTGTAGACCAGATATGGCTAAAAATGGCCTAGAAATATACACCTATTTAATATAACTTAAACAGTTTTGTCTCTTTTTTCTGATAAAATTTAGTATATAATTTCTTTTCTAGGTACAGAAAGTGCAGCGTTAGGGAAAACAGACTATGCTTTTGAGGTAAGCTTAGGGCCAAACTACATGGTATGTTCTTTAACCAGTATGGTATGAATATTTTGTGAATGTACAGCTGCAAAATGGGGCAAATAGTGCCATTCCAGCAGTTTGGGGTCAGGAAAACAGCACTGGGTGGGAACAGAAGCACCTTCTCCCCTCATGCTGCGGTCCCAAGCCAAATCAGTCCCCTGTGATGCTTTAAAAAGTAGTTCCCCACAGCTGTTGTGTGGCTGTGGAGAAAGCGAGAGTCCCTGTCTTGTTAAAAATTAATTAGTACATATGAAAAACTATATTTTGATCATTTAAAGCCATTATTTATTGACTGTAAAAGATGTTAAGCATTTGTAAAGGTTAGTGTTGTAAGCCTACCTTCATATAGTTACTTTTCCAAACTGCATTATTTTGTAATGTTTGCAGATGGCTGTTTCCAATATCCGATATGGAAAGGGAGTTACTAAGGAAGTGGGAATGGTAAGCTGATATTTTACAACTTTCTTGTAAGTTTCGTTGTTTGATTGTTGTTTTTAAAATGAATAATTTCAGTGAATTTCTGCAAAGATGCAGACATCGTACTGTAAAACCTTAAAACTTGCTTTTAGGGCTTAAGATGGGACCATACAAACCACTGTGTGTCTGCTGTTTAACAATCCAGATGTTTTTCACTGCAGACAAATATGTCTATGTGGATGTTCATGAGTAGATATTTTCCCTGTAAAAGAAATCTTTCATAGAGGTCCATTAAGCGAATGTGTGTCATTTTAAAAACGAATAGATGTTTCTCAAAGTATTGACAGAAATCCACAAATACAAAACTCCACAGGTAGATCCTGAATCGGTGAAAGCCAGCTGCAGGAGAGAAGGGACACAGTTCTGTTCAACTAGTTACACCTGCTTGCAGGCTTCTTTTTTCCATCCCTGTTTTGTAGTGATGTAGAACTTGAAATCAGTGATATGCATGTTACCAGTTTTATTGTGTTCATAGTTCTCTTGATTCAGGACACTTTTTTTACAACTATAAGAATGTTTTTATTTATTTATTTTTGTGCACTGTTGCATCTAAAATGTGATGCTCACTCTGTCATGTTGAATGTGCACACTTTTATGGCTTAAAGTCCATATAGTATACACTTTAACAGTGCAGTTTTATATGATGTCTTGTTGTTCTAAGCTTTACATAAGGAGAAATGTGATATTTCTTGTTCAAACAATGACACCAAAGTTGATTTGTTTAATTCTGGAATTTTCATATATATTTAAACATAAACACTTGATAGTTGCTTGAGGACCTTTGCATTAAAATTCTAAGGTGACTCTTGCTGTCCTGCTCCTCTGTGACATCAGTGGTAGGTAGAGAAAGAAGACAGAAGCTGAGGAGGTGTGATTACCACAGTGAGGTGAAGGGAGAGCAGCAGCATTGAGGAAGATATCACAGCATCATGTACCAATAGAGAATAAACCAATCATGGAATGGGTTGTTTTAGACTTCCTGGATTGTGTTGAAAACAGTATTTTTATATCTATACATAGATTTATGTCACTCTTACTCCACATATAATTCAGGATGACTATTATAAAAAGCTCTTCATTTTATGTTTAGTGTGTTATTAGTTGTAGTAGGGTAAACATTTACTGCCAGCAATATGCATGTATCTGTAGACAATACAGAAGTTATATAGTCTCAGTCATGAGGAATGAAACTCTACTTTAGCTGGACCGGAAAGAAGCGAGGGATCGGGGTGTTAATGTAATATAGCTTATCGTTTTACCATGGCTTTGATGTGTCTTTTCATCATTTAGAATTTTTATTGTTTTTCCTTCAATATGCTTTTAAAATGATAAAAACTAAATTGTTATATTTGAAACGTGATGCACAAGTTAACTTCGCATATTTTACATGTGTTTTCTAATTCAGGGTTCCCCAACATGGTGCCCGTGGGCACCATGGCACGTGCCAGTACTTTCCCTGATGCCTGCCAAGCTTTTCTGAAAGTGGGCATGGCTATCATAAGGCAAGGCTTGTTACTGGCTGCCCTCATTCAAATTAAATTGTTTTCTGCTGCAATAGCAACCACAGCCCCTATAGGATCAGGAGGTAAGCGCCTAGATTTTCCTTAGTCAGTGTGTGGTGCTGTTCATCTTCAAGCTTTCCCTTTTCTTTTCCCCTTCACTTTCTACCCCCCTCCACCTCCTCTCGGGCTTTCTTTAATTTCTTTTTATTCTCTTTCTGTGATTCTTTTGCAAAGCAAGGAGAGAGGTATTGTGTCTGGCGCAGCCATTTGGGGCAGCCATTTGGGGTTTGACTCTGCCTTCTGTAGTAGCCATTTTGGGATGGCGCTCACCACCCCCTCTCGAAATTCCAAAGATGCCTGCAGGCTCGAAAGGTGGTAGACCCTTGTTCTGATTGTCGACTAAAATTTTACAAGGTTTTATATTAAGTATTTTGTTATTCAAGTACTTGCATTGTTTAGATTGGTTTAGGATTTTGATTTCTTTTTATCTTTTTAAAACTAATTTTTTCACTAGGACCTGCAGAGTATGGGTGCCAGAAAAGTCTGTGTGATGACAGATAAAAACCTCTGTCAGCTCCCTCCCATGAAAGCAGTCTTGGATTCTCTGACAAAAAATGGGATAACCTTCAAGCTATATGACAATGTAAGAGTGGAGCCAACAGACCAGAGGTACCTGTGCTCTGAAGCATTTGTTTTCAATCAGCTCTTGCCAAGTAGATCTCTGTTAACACTATCATTTCACATGAGCTACTGATGTTTGCATTGGCCAGAAATTAGTCTTATCTATCTTTTGTTCCAGTAGTAATTTTACTGCACTGATATTTTGAAGTAAATAAGCTCCCTAGCACACGTTCCAAACAGCGCAAGTCCACTATAAGAAACAGACCATCTCCTCCTTCCTACAGTCCTAGGCAGAATTATACCTTTCTAAGGCTACTGACTTCAGTGGACTTACAAGGATGAAACTCTTGCACTGTGAGTCTCTCAGCAATACAGTATGTTTGGATCCAATGATTCCCTTCCCGCAATCAGGGCTATTTTTGGGCAGGAACGCACAGGAACGGAGTTCCGGCTGGCTCCCGAGTTGGCCACGCCCAGCAGGAACTCATTAGGATAATAGGCCACACCCAACAGCAGAAACTCATTAGGATTGGCTACTTTAGGGGTGTGTGGCCTAACATGCAAAGGAGTCCCTGCTCCCAAAAAAGCCCTGGGTTTTGACAACAAACAAGGTAAACAGAATAAGAAGCAAAAAGTGGGTGTGGCTGGATGACCACACTTCTGGTAACATGGGGGTGTGGCCTAATGGGCTAATGAGCTGTGCTGTCAGGGGTATGGCCTAATATGCTAATGAGCTCCTGCTGTTGGGTGTGGCCTATTATGCTAATGAGTTCCTGCTGGGCTTTTTCTACAAAAAGAGCCCTGCCCGCAATGAAAAGACCTCTTCCAGTGGAAAGAGATTTTATGTGTTGGAGGATGACTTCTCACTTAGCAGAAGTTAGTCACTGAATCCAAGCCAGTTATTCTGACCTTTTGATTATACTATTTGCTCTGTGGTTGTTCTACAACTATACAATCTATTATTGTCGTTTCAGAGGGTAGCCATGTTGATCGGCAGTAGAAGAGCTAGGGTCCAAGTCCAGTAGCACCTTGGAGACTAGCATGATTTTCAGGGTACGAGCTTTTGAGAGTCAAAGATCCCTTCATCAGATATCTTCATCTCTAACGTGCTACTGAACTCGAATCTATGACTGTATAATTGTTGACTTCCTTGTCTGTCTTCTGAAAGTGCTGTAGGACTAAGGTTGTAATTAAGCAATCAGAAGTAAGTTTAGATTGGCAGAGAGTATAAAGAGTAAAGGAAAAATATAATCTGATTATTCCTTAAAGTTTTATACTGATTAGATATTATGTACCGTATTAAAGTAAATCCTGTATATGATCATTAGAG